GGACTTGCCGTGCAGAATAACTTTGAAAGGGGAGAAAGGGATACGGTTCGGTACCCCGGTTCTGCGTCCGGTGATTGCGTGTACACACGGTAGATTGGTGTCGGAGTGGGTTAGGAGAATAAAATGTGAGGAGATGGGCGCTGCTGGGGCGCGTGAGTGCGAGTTGGTAGCTAATGGTATAATAATTTCGAATGAGTGAGAAGACGAAGAATCTGCCCGCTTATTCTGTCTGCCGCCTAACCCGTGTTTGCATGTAATACCTGTTTTTGTGTCTACTAGTAACCCTCTACCCATGTACATTCTTACTCCCCAATGAATTGATAATCTTAAGCTACCGTTTCCAGTTCGCACTGTTAATAGACCGAAACACTTGATTCGAGCAAATAATTTTCCCCCGCGTGCTGTGGCTCACTTCGTAGAGTCACATGTATGCCTACAAATAGAGTAGAAGTAGGGTTTTACTATAAATCAAGCTAGACGGCTTTTTTTACACGCAGTTATTACCTAAGCTTTCACTAGGGTTGTTCTACTATTCATGTAAACTGCTATTACTTACTGTCATTCGCAATATATACAGTTACTATTATTCAACGCACATTTATTTCGTCTTTAAAAACCTGTCTACGATCACTAGATACAGGTAAGTATTTGCGTGGCATGCACTGCGAAGAAAGTTTCAACAGTTTTAATATGATTATTTTTGGCCTTCTCTTCTTATATTTTGAGTATTTAGTTGGTCACTTTATTAGCTCTAGTAACTATTAACCCGCGTACGGTTGCCAGCTGCGCCTGTGCCCGTTTGCCAGCGGCAAGCCGTACGCCGGCCTATAGTTACTAGAGCTAGTCACTTAGGAGACACCAGTAAGTGAGCAGACTACGCACCTATTACAGGAATGGAATGATGACACGATCTGTCATTTAGCCTGTAGACACACTTAGCTGATTTTTCATGCCGATTGAAGTCGTGCCCCGCCGGTGGTTCTCCCTGACCCGACCGATTGATTTGCCTTGAGATCCATGCATGACCTTGGAAAACTAGGGCAGCTGTTGTGGCAGATTTTGGCTGGTTGAATTGTACTTCGGTAGGCTCGAGGCGCGTGAATGCCACCGGAGTAGAGCGTGTGATGCATTGCCTAGTTCGCGCCATTAGAAGCGGCCCCTTATTAGTATTTGATCGCGACGCTCCACCTCGGGCCACACACTACCGCGATTTCTCAGTGAAGGCGCGGAATCCGGCTCGATCGCTGCCATTGAGAAAATTGGTCCCTAGGATCTCGTAGCGTCGTCCAATTCCCTTTACTTGGCCCGGTCTCATTTTACTACACGTGCATTGTTTCCTGTCACAAATTAAGCTAAGCTTCAAGGTGACACGTGACTTCATTTCCATCACCCGTGCACAATTCTTTGAGTTCATGTTGTTATTACAATATATAGAAGTTAGAGTATTTGACTTGCACATTGAAGTAGATTTCTCATTTGTCAAACAATGTATCTTCTTAGATGCTATTCATATCAGAATGAAATGTGACTCAGCTCTGTCAGTGTGTTGAAGTCTTGGGTTAAGATTGTGTTATATATTTGGCACCGTCCCTCACCCGGCTGATAAACTAGCTAAAAAATAAAGCATTGCTTTTACTAATCTTGCGGATTTTAGCTCAATGAATCAGTTAGTTCTACTGTTGTCTGCACTGTGGTAGAAGCTGGTTGAAGGACAGGATTTGTGTGGAGAAAGAAAGTGAAGACGGTGTCTTCGAGTTTGGGGTATACAGCATTATGACGCGGGATATAGAAGTGGGACGTGAGAGAGCAGAGAGATGTGCCTTTGGATGGTATTCCCGCCCGAGTGTTGTGTGTATCGAGAGGATGCGAAGCAAAGGGAGATACAGGAGCCAGAGAAAGAGGGGAGAAAGGAAGCAGAGTAGAGGCGGGAGAAAGGAGAGCAGTGAACGAGGGCGGGGGAGAAAGGAACCAGAGCAGGACGGGGTTGAGAGAAAAGAGAAGACGCAGGCCTGTCCCGAAGAGATGCAGGCGGTGTGAGAAAGAGCCATAGATAGACATGGAGGGGAGAAAGGAAGCCAGAGAGGAGGGGAGATTTATGGTACAGCCGCAGAGAAGCGAAGAGGGGGCAGTAAGAACGGCGAAGCAGCGTAGGAGGGGAGAAGGGAAGCGAAGGTGATGGCCGAGGTGGTGGTGAAAAGCGTGAGCCACCCGAGATAGAGGTGGTGCAGAAATGTGGAAGCCAGAGAAGAGGGGAGAAAGGAAGCAGAGACGTACGAGGGGGAAAAGCGAGCCAAAAGAGTGAGGAGTGGTGTAGAAAGGATGCCAGAGACGTGTACGTTGGGTGAGCCGAGGAAGCCAGAAGTGTGAGTCGTGGATAGTGCCCGGGCAGAAAGGAAGCCAGAGCAGGGAAGGGGAGTAGAAAGAAGCCAGAGGGCGAGTGTGAGGTGGTGAGAGAAGGAGCAGAAGAGGGGAGAAAGGGAGCCAGATAAGAGGGGCAGAAAGGTTAGAGCCAGATAAGAGGGGGGAGCAAAGGAAGCAGGAGAGGAGGGGTCGCCGGGCAACCGAGTAAGCGGAAGCAGAAAGTGGGAAGTTGCAGGACAGAGTCCATCCGCCCGCTAGAGATAAAGAGAGACGGGCTGAGAAACGCAGGCAGAGAGGAGCGCTAGAATAGATTCGAGAAGAAAGAAGGGAGGCATCAGGGAAGAGGAAGCGAGGAAGCAGCGGAAGAAACGGAGAGAGGAGGAGTTATATATATTTATATATTATTGACTGAAGGTATATATGCCCCGCGCTCGAAGATGAAAGGTGGGGTAGCGGTACGTCCGTAGTCTTCTCACTATGGTTGCTCCTAAGTGACTAGCTCTAGTAACTATAGCCCGCGTACGGTTGCCGCTGGCAACCACAGCCAGTGGCAACCGTACGCGGGTTATAGTTACTAGAGCTAATAAGTGACCAGCTTAATCTCATAATATAAGAAGAGGAAGGAAAAATAATCATATTAAACTTGGTTGAAACTTTCTTCGCAGTGCATGCCACGCAATACTACCTGTATCTAGTGATGTAACAGGTTTTTAAAGACGAAATAAAATGTCGTTGCAATATATAGTAACTGTATATATTGCGAATGACAGTAGTAATAGCAGTTTACATGAAAGTAAGACAACCTAGTGAAGCTTAGTAATAACTGTGTAAAAAAGCCGTCTAGCTTGTTTATAGTAATAACCCTACTTCTACTATTTTTGTAGGATACATGTGATCTAGATATAACATAATATTACATGGAATGGAACGTGCTTAGATTATCAATTCTATTGGGTAGTAAGATGTACATGGGTAGAGGGTTACTAGTAGACAAAATATAACTGCAAACCCGGGTTGGCGGCAGACAGAATAACCAGATCTTCTTCTTCTTCATTCGTATTATTAATCCCACTCAAGTGGGGTTGCTGCAGTGGACTCTTCTCCTCCATTTTTTTCCTACCCTCCACTTCGTGTGTCGCCAATCCCTTCTCCTTCAAGTTATTCTGCACGCAGTCCTTCCATCTTGTCCTTGGTCTCCCCCTTCCTCCTCTACCTGGTGGTTGCATGTTCAGCATGCGTCTTCCTATGTAGTTCTCCTCTCTTCTCTTCACATGTAAAGACAGAATAACCAGATAAACCATCCATTTGCCTGTACTTGAATTTGAATTTGTAAAATAACTTCTCACTTTACAACACCTTCATTATTCTATTTTGCTATAAAAAGGAAGAGACACTTGTATTTTCAAGCTCAGTCATAGGTTTACAAGGTATTCACCCATCAGCACTCCACAGAACTCCCATGTACTTACAGTTGCACATCAGTGTTGCCATCTACAGTACATCAACGAGCAGCCTCCAACTTTTCAAATTCTCTCTTTCTGGTTTTTACGACATCACGTATGATCACTGAAAAGCACAAAAACAAAGCACATTAGCGAAGTTCTTGCTTCCTCCTTTCTTCTTTCTCTTCTGCCTTTTCCCCCGGCTTCACCCTATCACCAGTCGAAATGATTTCCAATTGATTTTGATGCAATTAAATTCTGTACCAGACATTAATATCTGATTATCAAATTTATAATGTGATTCTACATGGAGAATTTTATGTGTTCACACAATGATCGCCACTTGGCTGAAATTGCTTAGTTGGAATCTCAACCGGCACATCCGTAATGGCAACTGCATAACTAAGGGAATCACTATATAACATGATATCAGGAGTGGATCATAGAGAGGAGTATGACAGGTTTGAAACACAAGAAATTCAACATTTCCATGCCCATATTAATTATTTACCTATGATTGATTACATGAAATCCAATAAAAAAGACATTAGAACTAGCGCTGAACATCCAACTTGTCCTCACCACAGGCACTTGGAACGTCTCAATAAAAAAAAAAGGTAAATAAACACGAAATGTACCAAAGTCTTAATGTTTCTCCACTCTATTTCGCCTATAATCACCTGTAAATGCCGGTCAAATGCTCATCTGCAACACACAAGTACACCGAACGCCCGCCCGCGCTGTGCTGCGTGCACAAACAACATGAATAAGAGAGGCCGAGCGGTTAAGGCAGCGGTGAGGTTAAATTTGTAATGTATATGGTAAGCACTGAAGTACCCTGCAGATTTTGAGTTACATATATACATTACAAATTTAACCTCACCGGTGCCTTAACCGCTCGGCCTGATCTAGTGACATACGTGTTGTCACTATGTGAGCTGTTAAGTGTAGCATGTGGTACACTGGTAACACTAACAGCCTACAGGTGTCTCCATCATGAATACCGTACTGCGAGTAGGACTTTACTGCATTAGTCTAACTGATTTGAAGTCACTGGATTTTTTCATTTCTCTTGCTGAACTGGCTATTATTCGTTCACACCATATTCAGTTTGCATGTGGCTGGCTAACAGATGAGATCATAAACGCATATCTCTGGCTGATGGAGCACGATCACGTCACAAGTTATACATACCAAGTGTGGTGACGTTACTCACCGAGAGGGGTCAGCCAACTGGAATGCTCTGGGCAGACCGTAGAGATAGAGATGGCATCAGTGCCGCTTCAGTGATTCTTGCCCCATGGAATCCTACTGATGACCACTGGGTGCTGGTGGCCATATCCATGCAGGAGCGACTCATATTATACTTGGTTCCACTGGAGAGCACAGATGCCTCGTCTTCTCCGCGAGCAAATCTGGCATTCTCCATGATGACAGCCTTACCGAAAGAGAAAACGAAGATAGATGTGGTGGAATGGAAACTGACATGCCCACCACACAGACTCCAGGAGGATTCTTCTAGTTGCAGGGGATTTCTGTACCATTATGCTGCACAACTTCTAAAAAACAGATCACTCATGGCAGAAGTAGATGTGATGTAGCTCAGGAAAAGAATTTGTAAAGACGTTAATTGTTGGCCACTGTAAAATTATAGCTACAACCAAATAAAAAAAAATTATTCATGATGCAATTTTCATAACAAATCGTACAACTAGATATGCTGCGACAAGTGTGAACAATGGCTTCACTGTGAATGCATTGGTATTTCTAAAGAAGAGGCTCAATCTTGACCTGCTTTTCACTGTCCACTTGTGTTATAATAATTATAATTAAACCTAAAATGAAAGCAAATATAGGGTAAAAACGAGATTTTTATGAATGTTTGCTTGGTGGTGATGAAGTTAATGGCATCATAAGTCATCACACTGGAGTCATCGAGAGGCCAAACCACAGCTACGACAAGCACTTGGTATGAAGGTATCTCATATAAAATATCAAGATAATTCATTGAGAAATATAGAAGTTGTGGCTAATAAAGCCACTAAAATACAGTAGGTGATCCAAAACTGTGTGATTTGCTCCTATACCTCGCAATACCTTGGGATTCCCCAAAAATCTGTCAAAATTTGATCACCATACCGCCTGCAACTCTCGCGAGGTATGATTACACAGTCCCTTAAATGTAGTCCAAATGCTTCTCTGCAACACACAATTCCACTGCACCCACAGGCACTTGGAACGTCTCAATAAAAAAAGATAATGGTAAATAAACACGAAATGTATTTACTACCAAAGTCTTAATGTTTCTCTACTCTATTTCGCCTATAATCACCTGTAAATGCGCCAGTCAAATGCTCATCTGCAACACGCAAGTACACCGCACGCCCGCGCTGTGCACAAACAACATGAATAAGAGCGTCCCAGGTGATTACAGAATTAGGTGATTATAGGCGAAATAGAGTAGAGAAACATTAAGACTTTGGTAGTAAATACATTTCGTGTTTATTTACCTTTTTTTTATTGAGACGTTCCAAGTGCCTGTGACTGCACCCATGTGCTTGGACTCACAGAAAGATAGTTTTATGCACACACAGCTCATGTGGTGAAATGGTGCGTTGCAGAGGTTAATAGTATCAAGAGCTAATAACAATAAGAGGTATTATTAGCTGTTGATAGTATTGGTATTAATATCGATTTCCAATGCTTCTTACACTTTACCAGTCCAACTTCACAAGTATATATAGCCTATTCATGATCCTCATTGAAGTCCTCCTAGTTTAGCACTCTGGATTAGTTTGAAACATTTGCGTACACGTTTGTGGTGTTTAAAATTAGGACTGTGCATAATTCACTACCTAAGATCACTATCCGTATCCGTAACCGTATTGTTATCGTAATCCTAATCCTATATTATTCATAAATTATATTATTTTATTATATTTAAATAAATAATTACTATTTATAGAAATTTACGAGTTATGAATTCTGAAATGTTAAATCTTTAACCTCCAACTCACAGGCACTTGGAACGTCTCAATAAAAAAAATTAATGGTAAATAAACACAAAATGCACCAAAGTCTTTTAATGCTTCTCTACTCTATTTCGCCTATAATCACCTGTAAATGCCGGTCAAATGCTCATCTGCAACACACAAGTACACCGCACGCCCGCCCGCCCTATGCTGCGTGCACAAACAACATGAATAAGAGAGTTCATCTCTTATTCATGTTGTTTGTTATTCATGCTATTTGTGCACTCTCTTATTCATGTTGTTTGTGCACGCAGCACAGGCAGGGCTGCCAACTCTCACGCATTGACCGTGAGACTCACGCATTTTGACCAAATCTCACGCTCTCACGCTGATCTTACAATATCTCACGCACAGCAAAAAAATGCTGCTCAAGATATCTCACGCATGAATATCTCTTCATGAATAAAACGCTGAAATATCTCACGCACAGCAAAAAAAATCTTACAATATCTGAAAACAGTCACTTTAGTATGCACCAAATTGCACAAATTGAAGTTATAAAATGCAAAAGCTCCCTACCGTGGGAGGGGGGAAACCACCCTCCCACGAGCAACCCCCCGCCCCCCGCTCAGTCGCTTCGCTCCCTCGCATCTCACTCTCACCTATCCCCCAATGTTGGCAGCCCGGAGTACTACAGGGCGGGCGTGCGGTGTACTTGTGTGTTGCAGATGAGCATTTGACCGGCATTTACAGGTGATTATGGGCGAAATAGAGTAGAGAAACATTAAGACTTTGGTGTATTTCGTGTTTATTTACCATTAATTCTTTTTATTGAGACGTTCCAAGTGCCTAGCTGTGCTCCAAGTCCAACTCATGATCTACTACTAGTACTGTAGCCTTAGTCCGCAAATGCAGACGTAAAATCCGCTTTGCTAATCTGAGGGTGCGGGTTTATCGTCTGCAGTCACCCTTGTAAAAATTGTTGCAATTTTTGTTGTGGGCATTGGATCGGTGAATCGAGTAGCACTGAGGGCGTGACGGGCGTATATCTGACCTAAAATATCAAGTACAGACCTTCTATTTATCAATATCGCTTTCCGAAGACTTTATCGGAAACCGAACCAGGCTGTCGTTTGACTAACGTCAATACACCGGCCTGGACATCCATTCCATTTGAAAACAAATCTTGTAAGCTGTACAAACACTACCGAACATTACGTATATCTCAAATAAAATGATCATCTAAGCATTTCTGCCTTTGTTTTGTATCAAATATAACCTTCACCTTATAGCTAGTACTTCCAGCGATTGTATTAAAAAACTAAGTACCTTCGTTTGCTGTGCACAGTGTAAATTTCAAGAGCCAAACCGAAAATGTTCAAACTAACGCTCCGCCATGTTTGCAATGGCATGATTTTCGAACGGCGATGCGGAAAACCCGAAAATGAGCAGAACATACCATAGCGTTGCTACTGCTTGCTTGGCGCGAGCATAAAGGAAGGGCATCATATACTCGATATTATATATAAATTATTAAAACATTGAAAACAGGAATCGTCAATCTACAACAACTTAATTAATATCATTGCGAAGATATGTAACTTGCGTTTGGATTTGGCCTACGCACTGTGAAAATCAGGTCCATTGCCGATTTTAGTTCGCAACTGAACATGCGAGACATGGCGGCTGTCTGGTTGTTTTGACATTATCTCAGAAAAACGGCATAACTCAATAAATAAGTAGCGCCAGTAGCGCCCAGTTACGCGAGGCAAGCCAAGAGGTTTTAGATTCGTGGTGAGCTATTACATGTGACGCTAGCTGTGTCGATGTTGGATACCGAGCCAACTACAAGGAATTGTGGGCAAGAAAGTCGACAACGGTATTCTAACCCTAGCAATACCGTTTCTTGGAGCTACGAGTTACTAGTCAGTTAGATCATTGAGTTGGCGACTTGCGAGCACAGCTAGGCCACTTGGAACGTCTCAATAAAGAAGAATTAATTGCGTAAATAAACACGAATACACCAAAGTTCTTAATGGTTTCTCTAACTGCTATTTCGCCATAATCCCTGTAAATGCGGTCAAAATGTCATCTGCAACACACAAGTACAGCCGCACGCCGCCCTGTAGTACTCCGGAGCTGCCAACATTGGGGATAGGTTGAGAGTGAGATGCGAGGGAAGCGAAGCGACCCTGGAGCGAGGGGGCGGGTTGCTCGTGGCGAGGGTGGTTTCCCCCCTCCCCACGGTAGGGAGTTCTTGCATTTTTATAACTTCAATTTGTGCCAATTTCGGTGTCATACTTAAAGTGACGTTTTCAGATTATGTAAGATTGTTTTTGCTGCTGCGTGAATTTTTCAGCGCGTTTTATTCATGAAGAAGATATTCATGCGTGAGATACTCATTGAGCAGCATTTATTTTGCGGTGCCGTGAGATATTGTAAGATTCAGCGTGCGAGGAGCAGTCCGGAGATCTTGGCTCGAAACATGCGTGAGTCTCTACGGTCTAATGCCGTGAGAGTTGGCAGCCCGCCTGTGCTGGTGCACACAACAACATGAATAAGAGAGCTGCACAAATAAGCATGAAATAACAAACACAGAATTAAGAGATGAACTCTCTTATTCATGTTGTTGGTGCAGCGCAGCATAGGGCGGCGCGGTTCCGCGCGCTGCCGGTGTTACTGGTGTGTTGCAGATGAGACTTTTGACGGCATTTTACAGGTGATTATAGGCGAAAAGAGTAGAGAAGCACTTTAAAGACTTTCGGTGCATTTTTGTGTTTATTTACCTTTTAATTTTTTATGAGACGTTCCAGCTCCTGTGGAGTTGAGAGGTGAAAAGATTTAACATTTCAAATTCATCAACGCGTAAAATTTCTATAAATAGTAATTAATTTTATTTTTAAAATAAATAAAATAATATAATTTATTGAATAATATAGGATTAGGAGTACGATACACAATACTGCGTTACGGATAGGATAGTGATCTTAGGTACGGTGGATAGTTGTTAGGCACAGTCCTAATTTTAACACCAACAAACGTGTACGCAGAATGTTTCAAACTAATCCAGGAGTGCTAAACTAGGAGGACTTCAATGAGGATCATGAATAGGGCTATTAACCTGGATACTGTGAAGTTGGACTGTAAGTGTAGAAGCATTGAAATCGATATTAAATACCAATACTATCAACAGCTAATAATACCTCTTATTGTATTAGCCCTTGGATCTGATTAAACCATCTGCAACGCACCATTTCACCGCACATGAGCTCGGCCTCT